ATAGATAGATAGATAGATAGATAGATAGATAGATAGATAGATAGATAGATAGATAGATATAGATATAGATATAGATATAATCTATCTATCTATCTATCTATCTATCTATCTATATCTATATCTATATCTATATCTATATCTATATTCCTCTTTCCTTTCCTTTCCGTTTTTCCTTTCTTTTGGATTACAATAATAACAAATCTGAATTATTTGGAGACTGGTGGTGGATTGATTTGTGAAAATATTGGTGGGGGGTTGAGGAAATATTACAAATTTTTGGAGGATCTTAAGACTATTCAAAATAACTAGTACTAAGCAAATTAGGGAGAGAAAACACATCTGCATCCTCATCAGCACCACCAGCAGCAGCATCTAGTCCAGCAAGTCAAAGATCTTTGGATAGCATGTTGCAGCAGGAGAAACAGAACATGAGTACGATGCAAACTGAATTGAAATTAATACTCCAAACATTTCAAGAATCCACATAAAACATTTTGAAGACATGAAGGAAAGAATGGAAAAAATGGGTGATAAAATGAAGAATATTCAACAAACAATAACTAAAAATGAACAACGGATGAGAAATCAGAACAGAGAAGAAAGTGGAAGAGATGGATGATAGACTTACACTGGCAGACAAAAATTCTAAGAGAACAGTAATCATGTTGGAGATGGATAAAACTGATTACTTCTTGAAGTTCAAGAATATCAAGGAAGAAAGGGGGGAGAATCTTGCAGAGATAATGCCAGAATTGTTGGTGGATGCCTTGGAGGTGGACAAACAGGAGATGCTTGTTGGGATGGATGAAGTATATATAAGATATACGTCAAGAAATAAATTTCCTAGAGGGGTACATTTTAGATTTACTAAGAAGGCATTAAGAACAGAGATACTTCAAAGAGCAAGAGATGACCCATTCAAATACAAAGGAAAAGAAATAATACTTCTGAAACAGATCCCTAGAAGAGTAAGAGACATGAGAAAACAATACCAATTTCTGACAAGACAGTTAATTAAGCATGAAGTAAATTTCAGAGGGCTGATATCTCAGGGAATACTGGTGGCCTGGATGGATCAAAAGCATAGATTGGATACTATAGAGAAAGTAGAGCAATTTTATGATGAGCAATTTGGATCATATGAGGGAAAAAGAAAGAGGAGGTAGATGACAAGAAACAAGAAGAAGCAGCATCAAGAGGAAATGTACAACAAAGATAAAATGGAATTAAAGGAGAGAGCAGAATGAGAAGGTACAAAGATAAGAGAACAGAGAGAAGTAACAGCGACTAGAACCACAAGACCTGTCTACAAGTAAAACTATGGAAGATGAAATAAAACTGCAGTCTATTAATATAAATGGATTGAATTCTTCTATGAAAAGGTAAAGAACTTTCAACAAATTAGGAAAGCTAAAATTATATTTAATTTGTCTCCAAGAGGTTCACAACAAAAAACAACATAATAAATTATTGGAATATCCCAAAATTGGGAAATTATACTCCTCATTAGCACAACAAAAGAAAAGAGGTGCGGTTCTACATATTAAAGAATGATAAAAGCAAGACAAATCTTTGTGTGTGAAGAGGGGAGAATTTTGATGGTGGAGGTAACAATGAACTATAAGCAAATATTTTTAGTAGCAATATATGCACCAAATAAGAAACAGGAAAAAAAATATGAAAAACTACACAAGAAAATTATAGCATTGAAATGTGAAAATATTTACGTGATAGGAGATTTTAATGCGATTGTAGACACATAATTGGACTATAAAAGTAGTAAAGCAAGTAAAAAACCTAGAAAAATACTTCCAAAAACTTTCCTTAAAATGGTAGAAGAAATAGGTATTAAAGATGTATGGAGGAAGATAAACTCTAAAAGAAATCAATATTCATTTTATTCAAATAGACATGTCTTGGTCAAGAAAAAGAAACAAAATCAAAAGATGATAGTAGAAGAACATAAGAGACTGGAATTATAATTACAGAAAGAACCAAACAAGAAGATATTAAAAAATCAAATGGAACTGATAAAACTTAAAATGAATCTACTAGATCCGTGATGGCAAACCTATGGCACGCGTGCCACAGGTGGCACACAGGGCCATTTGTTAGGGTACATTAGGCATTGCCCTGCCAGCTGACTTCAACCTTCATTTTCGGCCATTTTTTGCCCTTCGGAGGGCGAAAAACAACCCAAGGTCAGGAAGGGTCTTCTGAGTTGCCTGTAGGACCATTTTTTGGCCTACGGAGGCTTTGGGGAAGCCTCCGGGGAAGGGGAGACTGGAAAGCCTCTGGAGCCTGGGGAGGGCAAAAAATAGGTCCATCGTGTGCCAAAAGTGGGGGGAGCATAGGGGGTCAAACATGCATGTGTGTGGTGAGCTGCGCGCATAGAATTATGGATGTGGGCACATCCACTGCGCTCCCGCTTTTGGCACATGATGGCAAAAAGGTTAGCCATCACTGTACTAGATAAAGAGTAATTGGCACAAAAAATTAAAAATGCTAAACAGAATTTCTTTGAAAATGTGAATAACCCAGGAAGATGGCTAGCATATAAATTGAAAACAGACAAAGAGAAGAAATGGATACATAGTTTGGTAGATGAGAAAGAAACTTTACATTATCAAAATGAGGGTAAAAAAATAATTCAAGACTATTCTGAAAATCTGTATAAACAAGAGGAAGTTTCAGAAGAGAAAATTAAACAATATTTGGAAAAAGCAGAATTACCTAAAATACCAGAAACTGTGAAAACTATATTAAATAAACGAATATCAATGATGGAATTGTCAGAAGCGATTAAGAGATAAAAGAGCAATAAAACACCAGTACCAAATGGATTACCAGCAGAATTTTATAAATATTTACAATATACTCTAGGCCTATCAATGTTGGAAATTTAAAATGAAGTATTGATTGATACGAAGGTATCAAATTCGTGGATGGAAGCAAATATTACCTTGATTCTGAAAGAAGACTCAGATTTAACCTTCAGATGAGGACCCAGATTGTTGTTGGGGGCAATATGCTGACTCTGTAAACCGCTTAGAGAGGGCTGAAAGCCCTATGAAGCGGTATATAAGTCTAACTGCTATTAATGCAGATAAAAAATTATAGGCCCTTATCTCTACTGAATGCTGATTACAAAATATATGCTATTATATTCAATAATAGCAGAAAGATTAAACATATTTTAAATGAATTTATACATCCAGACCAAAATGGCTTTTTACCTAAGAGACCAATTAAAAACAACATGAGAATGATTTTAAATACGTTGGAATATTATGAAGCACACCAGAGGTGGTTCCTCCCGGTATGGTATGGTACGCCAGAAGAGGTAGTGAAAATCTGGTAGCCATGCCCCCAAACCAGTGAAAGAAAGAAACAGCTGACAAAGAAAGAGGAGTGTAGGCCTGGGCTGTTGGAAGAAGCGCCCGCACTTCGTTCTCTTTGAGAGCTGCCTTGCTTGCCATGGAGAAAAATCAGGGAGAGAGGGGGAGGAGAAAGCCAAGCTTCTGCTAGGGATGGCTTTCTCCTCCCTTTCTCCCCGATTTCTCTCCCACCGCGCTCGCTGGGGAAGGAGGCAGGGATGCTGGCTGGTGCTCACTTCTCTTACTGTTCATCATCGCTGCCCCTGCAGCCCGCCTGCTGCAGTCCCGCCTGCCCTGCTTAGCTGGGTGGCTGGACGGGAAAGTGGCAAGGGGGTGAGCACCAGCCAGCATCCCTGCCTCCTTCCTCCGAGAGCTGCTGCGGCTCTCGGATGGAGGAGGCAGGGATGCTGGCCGGTGCTCACTTCCCTTACCACTAACCACCGCTGCCCCTGTGGGATGGAGCATTACCCGCTTCCCCCCTGCCAGCTGGCTGCACCCTGGGCCCCACCTGCCCTACTTAGCTGGGTGGCTGGACGGGAAAGTGGTGAGGAGGAAAGTGGTGGTGAGCAGTAAGGGAAGCAAGCGCCAGCCAGCATCCCTGGTTCCTTTCTCTGAGAGCCGCAGCAGCAGGGGAAACCGAGGTTTCTTTGCCAGCCTCCCAGCTGATCCAGCCCCCCCTTACACACACATCTTGCACTGCAGCAAGTGTGGTATGTGTCTGTGTGTGTATGACACGTGTGCCTTCCGTGGCGTGCCCAACACCTTCAGGCACCCAGCAGGTCACCCGCCGAGCAGCAGAAAAATCAGGCTTTGGCAAAAGGAAAAAAAGCCATTTGAAATTAGCCATCTCTGTCGCTCTGCTAAAAAGGCGGGA